TCATATTATTATTATTATAATAAAAAAGAAGCGCTAAACCGCAAGGACTATACAGTTGAAATATCATAACCACATTAAATGTTTTCAGTTTATGACAATACCTGTACTGTACATCCAATTTCCTGTCTTTCATAACATCTAAAAAGAAGCTATGTCTACTGTACATTACATTAATGCACATCCAACGACTCAAAGCTAAGAGAACCTTTATTGCTCTAGTCTTGATAACTTTTTCTGTGTTTTGGTTAAATAAGTACAATTCGAAAATTAATTGAGGTTTAATATCTGTGTTAATTACAGAAAAATTAATGCTCCAATTAATATTTTACTGAGTAATTTGCATATATCTCATAAACCTGTCAGAATTTATGCTTAATATACATAAGTTTTATAAAGACTTGTTCTTATTTTATAGATAACTATATGTGCGAAATTCTTTCAAATTACTGTACTAATAATGTTGGTCCTGCAGGAGTCGAACAATCGTGGGCACCTGCCCAAGTACAGCATTTTGGTTTGTGGCAGTCAGCTGAAGGTCAATATAATGATTATTCTCAGTCAATCCCTGGTGACAAATGATGGTCGAGTCATTATAGAAGGCTGGGCTGTTTTGAAGAGAATGATCATTTTGGAGAATCTGATTATTTTGAAAGAGACGAGTGCTTTGATTATTATTTTGAATGACAGTGTTTTGTGCCAGAGATGGGTCACTGGAAAGCATATCCGTTGTTCCAATAAGTTGATTGTTAAGAAACGAGTTGCTTGCAAATGTGGAAGCAATAACTGGTGTTAATGACTGGACTGAAGAACACGCAGTGGAAGCGACTGAATGAAGAACAGAAGGTTCTACTGATGGCTGATAAGATAAAACATGTGGCTGTGGCACTTCAGGGAAAATATTAACTAAAGGAATAAAACAGGTCTTGTCTATGCTCTTTGCTTTCTTGGAAGATTGTAATTCATGCTTTTTATTTTTCTTGATTTGGGTTACTGGCCTGAGTTTTGCTTTATCTGTGGGTAGTGCACCAGGTGGAGGTAGAGGGGCAGTCTCTGGAAGGTTGAGCTTGCGGCGCTGTGCAACACCCATATAAACTGTCTTATGGACTTTTTTTACATGTTCTGATATACTTCCCGGACCACTAAAGCCTTTACTACAATATGGGCACTGGAATGGCGTCTCTCCAGTATGCTTTCTCTTGTGGTATGTAAGATGAGAAGCAACCTTGAAAGCTTTATCACAAATATTACACACATGTTTTCTAATGTCTTCATGAACAACATTTTTATGAGTTCTAAGGTCACTTTTGCTGCAGAATCCTTTCCCACACATTGGACAGATGTGCTTCCGAACTTCGTCTCCTCCATGCATTCGTCGCTTGTGATTCACCATATCATTAAGTCGATAAAAGACCATTTTGCAATCTGAACATGGATATTCAGTATCTTTGGTATGCACAGCACTTAAATGAATTTTCATATCTCTTGAATCCCCAAATGGCTTTCTGCAAATTGGACAGGGAATTTCATTACTCCTGACCTTTAAATGAACACGTTCCACATGTTTACGCAGCTCACTTGGACAGAGAAATCTCTTTTTACACATGTCACACTGCAATTTTCTAACTTCCATTCCCTGATGAACTCTTCTGTGGTGACTCCTCATGTTAGTTTTTTTGTTGAACACTTCAGCACAGACAGGACACTTGAAATTATATACCTTATCATGGATTGTCTCTCTATGCAATTTTAAAGTTGCAGAACTTGAAAATGATTTATTACATACAGTGCATAGGTGTTCCTCTTGGAGAATGCCAATGTGAACCACGAGACAATGTTGGCGTAATTTGGTGAAAGCATCAAAGATGCCGTCACAGTTAGGGCATGGGTAGTGGACTTCTTCCTGGTGGGCCTCAGCCAGATGAGTTGCAATATCCTGTAACATTCAGCACTGTTAGTCTTGAAGTTTTCCCACTGTAATCTCAATGGATTCATTATGTATTCTATGTCTTATTCACTTATATTTGCTTTCATTTCATGTAGTGTTTGCATGAATGGTGATGTAGTTGGAAGGTAATCCTGAATTCTGATGTCTTTACAGTTCTAGAAAGATGGCATTTTTGTGAATCTTGGTTCATGTCTTCTTTGGGTCACCTTGCCTTATTTCTAACTCACTGGCTGTCTCCTGCCAAGGCAGGGTGACCCCAAGAGAACACATTCACAATCATATATTCAATTGCCATCTTGCCAGAAGTGTGCTGACATCAAAATTCAGATTACCAACTGCAACATTCCCGCCCCTCCAGAATGCAGGTACAGTGGACCCCCGACTTACGATATTAATTCGTTCCAGAAGGCTGTTCGGGTGCCGTTACCAAACGAATTTGCTCCCACAAGGAATATTGTAAATTAGATTAGTCCGTTTCGGACCCCCAAAAATACACTTACAAAAGCACTTACAAAAATACACTTACGTAATTGTTCGAGTTGGGAGCTGATCGTAAGTTGGGGTCCAATGTACTTCCCTTCCCACCTCCAGAACTCAGTCCAGCTAACTGGTTTTCCTGAATTCCTTCATAAATGCTACTGTGCTCAGAATCCAGCATATTTACTGAAAACCACTTGTCTCCATTCACTCCTCACACATTCACACAATTCTGCTGAGCATTCAAGCTTCTAAGACTCAAAACCTCATTTACCCCACTCTCTTCAGCTGTTCCTGGGATGACCCCCTACCTTCCACATGAAAATTTATACACCCTCTTCATCATCATGTGTCTCTCCATCCTTTCTACATGCCAAAACCACCTCAAGAACCCCTCCTTGACTCTCTGAATTAAACAGTTAAGTGTCCCCACATTGCCTTTAATTTCTAGCCTCCAAATTCTTGACATGATATTTGTAACTGTGCAATTGTAGTTTCACACGCCTGATAACAATGAAAGGAGGATGACCAGGAACCCAATTGCATTTTAATGGAAAAAATTTGCTATCCTTAGACCAACATTGTTGTCAGTGAATTCCAAATTTTTGAGATAGTGGAAAAACAATTCGAGGAAGACCCCCGTGGAAGACTGACAGATTTTGAAAAGCTGATTCAGTGGTCGAGTCTGTGTGTTCATTGCCTTCAACACAAGTGTGTCCAGTGATCCAGCAAAATAACACATTTTTTGTGCTTGCTAGAAATGCAACTGACCACTGCTGTATACAGAGAACAGGTGCACAATGTAACCTGGGAGTCAAATTTCTGGATAGCTTTGAAGTGTAAAACAAGAGGTTGACCAAGTTGCATTGTGTATGAAAGTGATGGGTATTGCATATAAATGTGCTCTGAAAATGCTGGTTGACACAATTTCCTGGAACTGCTCCTTCTGAAAAAATAGCCAGCTCATCCTGATGGAGAATTCCTTGACAATTTCCCTCTTCACTCATGGTGAACATTATTGTTGCTGTAGGTTATACTGGTAGGACTCGCAAGTTATCAACTTCAAAGAGACCTTGTCAAAAAACCCTGTGATCAACCATGCCTCACTAGTCCAGTATAGATAATAAATGATTATACAAAATAAAAACTAAACCTGCATTATGAATAAAGTGTAATTATTCTGCTTATTTATTTATTTACTTCAGATAGTAATTACTTTTCACAATTAGACAATTGGTCACCCTACCTCAATAGGGAATGGCTGATGTATTAAAAAAAATTAGGAAATGAATAGAAATTTTAATAAATTAGTTAAAGCCTCTTTCTGGGTAGGAAGCAGCTGTATTGTAGGTGAAATAAAAAAATACAATTTCTCTGATCAACTGCTTTCACTACATACATATAAAATCCCAAACTATTAATGTACAGGAGTTCCCTGCTTTAGAGCACTTAGCTTTACAGCATTTCACTAATACAGTGGTTTTCAATTATACCCATTCTTCATTTATTTAGACTTCCTACAGTCAATATATTTACCATTCACTACATGCTGAGGACGAAAATTTTCAACAATACTTTCAACATGTCTGCCGTCTTCCACTGAAGCAGGGCGACCCAAAAAAAGAAACTTTCACCATCATTCACACACAATCACTGTTTTTGCAGAGGTCCTCAGGTATGACAGTTTGGATGTCACTTCAAACAGCCAATATCCCAAACCCCTCCTTTAAAGTGCAAGTATTGTACTTCCCACCTCCAAGACTCAAGTCCAGCTAACCAGTTTCCCTGAATCCCTTCACAAGATATTACCCTGCTCACACTCCAACAGCTCCCCAGGTCCCAAAAACCATTTGTCTACATTCACTCGTAACATGGTAACACATGCCTGCTACATGTCCAAGCCCCTTGCACACCAAACCTCTTTTTACCCCCTCCTTCCATCCTTTCCTAGACAACCCCTACCCCTCCCATCCACTACAGATTTATACACCATCCAAGTTTTCCCATTTTGTGTGTACTGTATATGCATTTTTACACCTAGCTCTATTGCTCACATAATATGTGACAGTGTAAACATTAGCAGGCTTTTACATGCATTTTAAATTAAAAAAAGAAAAAAAAGCTGTTTCACTTTACAGCAGTAGCCTGGAACCTAGCCTGCTGTATAAGTGGAGCCCTCCTGTAATTATTTTCACATATTGCTCCTGTGGTGTTTGGAATAGCACAGTCACTAAAAGGCATAAAAATAGGGTAGCCAGCTACCTGAATAACATTCAACACCTTATTACCTAGGGAAGCAGGAATCCTTAGTAAATGCCGAAGAGTGAAGATGCACTTTTTATATGTAACTTAAACTGGTAAAAATATTATATATAATTCATGATAAATTTATCCAAGCTTAATTTTTTTAAATAAAAAAGCCATCACTAGGCAGGACAAGCCAAAAGAATAAAACTTTAAAAAAATTTTTTTCTTTTTCATCAAACTGGCCATATCCCACCAAGGCAGGGTGACCTAAAAAGAAAAACAAGTTTCTTTTTAAATTTAGTAATGTATACAGGAGAAGGCGATACTAGCCCCTTGCTCCTAGCATTTTAGTTGCCTCCTACGACGCACATGGTTTACGGAGGAAGAGTTCCATTCCATTTTCCCATGGAGTAAAAAACATATCTATAGAAATTTTAAGGAAACCATTGCTGTATCTGGAAACAATGAAGGAACAAAATTTGAGTAACTTAAAAATTTCTTTATGAGCCTTAATGTAGTTATAGTTGCAGTCCTCTAAAGCATCTTACTGAGCACTGTTTCTGTAAATACTCTTTACAATCATTACAATAAGGTTTACAATTAAAAAATTACTTATTACAAAGTTGGTGTTATGTATTTTCATTTTTTTTTTTTTAGACAGACAATATTTCATACAATAAAAATTGTAAAAATACAGCACATGTTTTTACACATGTCAATAAAAAAATGATCATTATTCTTGTCTACAGCTTAACCATATATCTATCTCCTTCAATCTTAATAGATATAAAAATGATCATAATTATCCTAAAAAGTATATTGAACAAAAATTCAATAAGAAATACTTATGACTGAGATCATACCACAGCTTAAATTTACTGTACACTATTTTTTAACATCAATTAAAAATATAAAAATAAATTTTTAAAATATATATTCCATATGCACACTATTCTATGGCATTCTCAAAATAATTATCACTTATAATTTGGCAAGGATAATTTTTGATACAATAAAGAAATATAATAAATAAGATAAAAACTTTGTACTATTCGGAGAAGCGGGATATACTGTACAAAATATGATGCATTGAAATATGAATCAAAAATTATAATATACTAGCAATGCCATTTAAAGAAACATTAATAGCTTTCTTAAATCTTTTCTTCATAATGTTTTTGGATGTCTGTTTACAAATATAGATCTACCATAGGCCCTTCATGGGCTTGGCCCTGTATTTTACTGGTAGTGCAGGTCATGCAACAAACGAACAACCATAGGTACTGGAGATTGTTGTGTTGGGGTTTGTTCTACTGCTTGAAACTGGAAATTAGCATATGGATTATGGTGGTCCATGAGCCCCTGGTGTTGAATCATTGGTGGATTGGTCTGGGTTGGAGGCAGCATGTTTGTAGTGTGGTGAGCAGGAGTGAAAGTTGCCACTCCTGAAGCAGGAATGGTGCAGGCCATTGGCTGAGAGTAAGTTGGATGAACCATGTTCATAGGAGTAGTCATATTTTTTAGTTTGGGTTTTGCTTCACGTGCTGGCAACATGCCTGGAGGTGGAGGTGGGGCACTTTCAGGAAGATTCAATTTGCGCCTCTGGTTTGTACCAATGTACACTGTCTTGTGAACTTTCTTGACATGGTCTGATATGTGACTGGGTCCATGGAAACATTTACCACAGTGAGGACATTCATAGGGTGTTTCACCTGTGTGCTTTCTACGGTGATATTTTAAATGTGAACAAACTTTAAAAGCCTGACCACATATATCACAAACATACTTTCGAATATTTTCGTGGACTACCCTAATGTGAGTCTTGAGATCACTTGGACTACAAAAACCTTTACTACATACTTCGCACACATTTTTCCTTCCTTCTGGTCCACCGTGCATACGCCGTCTATGCGTCACCATGTTGGTAAGACTATGAAACACCATTTTGCATTCTGGACAAGGGTGTTGCACTTCCTTGGTATGCACAGCATTGATATGAATTCGCATGGCTCGTGAATCAGAAAAAGGTTTACCACAAACTTCACACATGACTTCATTCTTTCTCACCTTTAAATGCACCCGTTCTACATGTTTCCTCAGGTCACTTGGGCAGATGAAACCTTTGTTACATATATCACACAACAACTTACGAGCTTCGTCTCCTTGATGCACACGACGAAAATGATTTTGCATGTTCCCTTTTTGATTAAAGATTTCTTTGCATTCTGGACATTCATATACTTGGGCTTTTTCGTGTATAGTGTCTACATGAACTTTAAGGCCAGTTAAACTTGAAAACTTTTTATTACATATTTTGCACATAAACTGTTCTCTCTCCACACCCATATGAATCACAAGACAGTGTTGGCGCAGTTGCATGAAAGTGTCAAAAACTTCGTCACATTCTGTGCACGGATAATGGATCTCCTCTTGGTGTGCTTCAGCAAGATGGGTCTTGATGTCCTGAAATTTGGCTAAGGATTAGTGGTCAGAGCTTCTCCGTGAATGTTCACCACCAGGCTGCTAACATAATTTGCAACTATTAAAATAGTTTTTGATGAATGCATCCCATTCAAAAAAGAAATGCCTCAAAATTGGTAATTACAGAATATATTAAATTACACAGCTGCAATACTATATTAATATTGTACTAGAATCAGCTGCAAAATTATATCCACACTACTAGAATCAGCTGCAATACTACATTTATATTGTACTAGAATCATTAAGCACAACAGTAATGTACAATATTCTGTAACATAAAACACTGAACAGAATAATTTTTAATATAATTTTCCAACCTTCTATTGTGCTAAATGGTAAAATAGTTCATTGAAAGTTATCTATATAAGGACTCGTGCATGAAAAATATAAAATGAGCATTGTTCTCTTCCTTTTACTCAACACTGATGTCTATTACAGTGAAAGCAAGACAACTGCATGTATTTGCTGATCAGTTGGAATCGCCTCTCTCTCAAATCTTACCAACTCGTAATACAGGGTAAATGGCTCTCTTTGCGGAAGAAGGCATATGTAGTCCCAATTCATTAAAAGAAAACTTGAGCAATGGTCAACAATTACAGGACTGGTTTTACTGACTTAAGTATAACTGGTAAGATGAATACGGTTATCTTGTAAATTAATGACTTTTTTGATATCACCTATTACAGGTCTCTCCTGTACTAGGACTAATTTTAATGCCTTGAACATTGTAAAGACATTCCTAGGTAAACTGTATTCCTGATAATCACCAATTTTTTTTAATTTTCACTGTTGAATTTTGAGTAATGGAGGTGGGAAGTATAGTGCCTGCATTCTAAAGGAGGGGTGGAGATATTTGCTGTTTGGAGGAACATCTGAACTATCACCTCTGGCAAGACAGCGATAGTGTCAATGATGGTGAAACTGCTTCTTTTTTAGGTCACCCTGCCTCAGTGGGAGGCAGCCAGTGTTAAAAAAAAATACAGTCACACCTCAACTTCCCACACCTCAAAAAAAAAAAAAAAATTCTTCTCATTCAAGAAATGGTGACATATAAAATTTTCTCCAAACAGAGAAAATTAAGCTCTGATAACATTTATGCAATTTACATATTGGGAATTACAAGTGAAATTGACAAACATGAATAAATATACAAAGTATTTTCTAATATTTACCTTTCTCTTGAAAACCGATTCACAAAAAGGGCATGGGAAGAGGCGATGAGTTGACAGATGTGTCAGGTACTTCTTGGCATGAACAACCTGCAAAGCAGCAATACTGTTGGAAGATACAGTGTAAATTCATTATTCACACTGGTTACTTTCTAGGAAACTGCACTACCAGTCACTTCCTTGACTTATGAAAAAAACAGGAATGTGTTCCTCTCACACCTACAAAAAAAAAAGTTTTTTACTATTATAACTCTTCAAAGGAAGGAGGGGTGCTAATGTTGCAGTTTTTTAACTGTAGTGGAAGCGCACCTCTGGCAAGACAGTGATGGAGTGAATGATGGTGAAAGTTTTTCTTTTTCGGGCCACCCTACCTTGGTGGGAAACGGCCGATGTGTTAATAAAAGTAATAAAAATTATTTGAAACGTAATACTTTTTCTACCTAATATTGCTAAAATGCATGCTCTGCAAATTACCTGAACTCTAGTGAGGTTCAGGCAGTTAAGAGAGAGTATGTTGCTATAAAATGGTTACATTATTATTATTTTTTTATTAACACACTGGCCGATTCCCACCAAGGCAGGGTGGCCCAAAAAAAGAAAAACTTTCACCATCATTCACTCCATCACTGTCTTGCCAGAAGGGTGCTTTACACTACAGTTTTTAAATTGCAACATTAACACCCCTCCTTCAGAGTGCAGGCACTGTACTTCCCATCTCCAGGACTCAAGTCCGGCATTATTATTATTATAATAAAAAAGAAGCGCTAAACCAAATAAAATGGTTACAGTAATGCTGTACGTACAGTTAGGATGATGATTCTTAACACCCTGAAGTAGAGAAGGTGGCTCTGACCTTACTGGGCTGAGGTTTATGGTTGGGGTTAGCAATGCAATGATCAAGGTTGGGGATCTTAGAATGTTGATGCAGCTTTATTAGATGATTGTTGCAATGGAGTACTGAGGTATTCTGTCATACACCACTGGCTTGTTTTACCCTGCAGTTTTTTATACAGTTCACTGCATATTCTACAACAGTTAAATCATCCAGGACTAAATGTGCACTCATTGTCATGCTGACCTTCCTTCTCACACACCATTTTAGAGCATGATTGGCTTTTTCCTTAATAATGCCATTAAGTGGAACACCTTTCTTTGTTTGCTTTTCAATACACATTTAGTAAACTTTCTGTTTTATTTAGCTGTAATGACCTATTCCTCATTCGTTTCACTATGTCACATTGAGGATTACTCATTGTACAAGCCTTTAGATTCAGGTCATTGTCTCAAATGGAACAAATTGTAAGTTCTCTAACATCAAGCACTTGTGCAGTCTCCATGACATGTGCACCACCCTTCAGCATCTCAATTACCTTTTAATTCTTTAAAATAGGCATAGTAACTCACATCTACACTGACAAACAAGAGGATTTGGGACCCAATTAAAAGCTTACAGCCACTAAGCCAGAGTATGAACATGTGTGAAATGCTACTATCTTTTATACTACTGTTGTTTTAAACAACTAACTTGTTTGTAAACTAAAAACCAGGAATGCAACTAATCTGCGAGTTGAGGCTCTCCCGTAGTGTTTTTCATTTTCTTACGTTCAATCTGACTAATGAGACTAACCCTAGTTTTGTCATCAATTTAATGTTATGGTATTCATGTATTTTGCATTACTGGCATCTTCTAGTAACATGATACTTCAAATACAGAATCACACCTGTTTTCTGAACTACTGCAAACAAGGATATTGACATTCTTTAAACTTAAAAGAGCCAAAAACAGGGCAATGTAACTTAAATCTTAGAACTGCTAATGTAATGTTTTCTTTGATTTTTCTTCATAAAATGTAAGTTAAACACTGGCATTTGAGCTAAACTCACACCTCACATTTTAGAAAAATACCTTTTTACAGGCAGGACATTCCTTGGTAGGTGCACCAGGGGGAATATAGTCATCTTCTTCCTTATCTTTTTTCCTAGGTCGCCCACGACCTCGTTTTCTAGGACGACCATCAACACCAACATCGCCTCCTTCATTAGCTGTATCTATCTGTTAAATATTTTCAAAATACAGTAATCGTATTTCTCAATGAATAATAAAAAGTAAAAAAACTGGTAGTTCCTATAGAATGCATGGTATTCATGTGTTATAATTCTGAAGACTAGACTGATGACAAAACTCATCCAAAGTTATTTTAAAATCCGTTATATTCCCCCTTTGTAATGTCATGATTACGACCAGATCTAGTTCATTACCTTTGTAACTTGCTCAGCTATCAAAACTTTGGAGTCCAGTCCCTGGACCAATTATGTACCTCTGTAATCTTTTGACTACCGCCCACAGGATGGGCATGGGGTGCATAATAAACATTTTTTTTTTTTTTTTTTTTTATCACACCGGCCGATTCCCACCAAGGCAGGGTGGCCCGAAAAAGAAAAACTTTCACCATCATTCACTCCATCACTGTCTTGCCAGAAGGGTGCTTTACACTACAGTTTTTAAACTGCAACATTAACACCCCTCCTTCAGAGTGCAGGCACTGTACTTCCCATCTCCAGGACTCAAGTCCGGCCTGCCGGTTTCCCTGAATCCCTTCATAAATGTTACTTTGCTCACACTCCAACAGCACGTCAAGTATTAAAAACCATTTGTCTCCATTCACTCCTATCAAACACGCTCACGCATGCCTGCTGGAAGTCCAAGCCCCTCGCACACAAAACCTCCTTTACCCCCTCCCTCCAACCCTTCCTAGGCCGACCCCTACCCCGCCTTCCTTCCACTACAGACTGATACACTCTTGAAGTCATTCTGTTTCGCTCCATTCTCTCTACATGTCCGAACCACCTCAACAACCCTTCCTCAGCCCTCTGGACAACAGTTTTGGTAATCCCGCACCTCCTCCTAACTTCCAAACTACGAATTCTCTGCATTATATTCACACCACACATTGCCCTCAGACATGACATCTCCACTGCCTCCAGCCTTCTCCTCGCTGCAACATTCATCACCCACGCTTCACACCCATATAAGAGCGTTGGTAAAACTATACTCTCATACATTCCCCTCTTTGCCTCCAAGGACAAAGTTCTTTGTCTCCACAGACTCCTAAGTGCACCACTCACTCTTTTTCCCTCATCAATTCTATGATTCACCTCATCTTTCATAGACCCATCTGCTGACACGTCCACTCCCAAATATCTGAATACGTTCACCTCCTCCATACTCTCTCCCTCCAATCTGATATTCAATCTTTCATCACCTAATCTTTTTGTTATCCTCATAACCTTACTCTTTCCTGTATTCACCTTTAATTTTCTTCTTTTGCACACCCTACCAAATTCATCCACCAATCTCTGCAACTTCTCTTCAGAATCTCCCAAGAGCACAGTGTCATCAGCAAAGAGCAGCTGTGACAACTCCCACTTTGTGTGTGATTCTTTATCTTTTAACTCCACGCCTCTTGCCAAGACCCTCGCATTTACTTCTCTTACAACCCCATCTATAAATATATTAAACAACCACGGTGACATCACACATCCTTGTCTAAGGCCTACTTTTACTGGGAAAAAATTTCCCTCTTTCCTACATACTCTAACTTGAGCCTCACTATCCTCGTAAAAACTCTTCACTGCTTTCAGTAACCTACCTCCTACACCATACACTTGCAACATCTGCCACATTGCCCCCTATCCACCCTGTCATACGCCTTTTCCAAATCCATAAATGCCACAAAGACCTCTTTAGCCTTATCTAAATACTGTTCACTTATATGTTTCACTGTAAACACCTGGTCCACACACCCCCTACCTTTCCTAAAGCCTCCTTGTTCATCTGCTATCCTATTCTCCGTCTTACTCTTAATTCTTTCAATTATAACTCTACCATACACTTTACCAGGTACACTCAACAGACTTATCCCCCTATAATTTTTGCACTCTCTTTTATCCCCTTTGCCTTTATACAAAGGAACTATGCATGCTCTCTGCCAATCCCTAGGTACCTTACCTTCTTCCATACATTTATTAAATAATTGCACCAACCACTCCAAAACTATATCCCCACCTGCTTTTAACATTTCTATCTTTATCCCATCAATCCCGGCTGCCTTACCCCCTTTCATTTTACCTACTGCCTCACGAACTTCCCCCCACTCACAAACTGGCTCTTCCTCACTCCTACAAGATGTTATTCCTCCTTGCCCTATACACGAAATCACAGCTTCCCTATCTTCATCAACATTTAACAATTCCTCAAAATATTCCTTCCATCTTCCCAATACCTCTAACTCTCCATTTAATAACTCTCCTCTCCTATTTTTAACTGACAAATCCATTTGTTCTCTAGGCTTTCTTAACTTGTTAATCTCACTCCAAAACTTTTTCTTATTTTCAACAAAATTTGTTGATAACATCTCACCCACTCTCTCATTTGCTCTCTTTTTACATTGCTTCACCACTCTCTTAACTTCTCTCTTTTTCTCCATATACTCTTCCCTCCTTGCATCACTTCTACTTTGTAAAAACTTCTCATATGCTAACTTTTTCTCCCTTACTACTCTCTTTACATCATCATTCCACCAATCGCTCCTCTTCCCTCCTGCACCCACTTTCCTGTAACCACAAACTTCTGCTGAACACTCTAACACTACATTTTTAAACCTACCCATACCTCTTCGACCCCATTGCCTATGCTCTCATTAGCCCATCTATCCTCCAATAGCTGTTTATATCTTACCCTAACTGCCTCCTCTTTTAGTTTATAAACCTTCACCTCTCTCTTCCCTGATGCTTCTATTCTCCTTGTATCCCATCTACCTTTTACTCTCAGTGTAGCTACAACTAGAAAGTGATCTGATATATCTGTGGCCCCTCTATAAACATGTACATCCTGAAGTTACTCAACAGTCTTTTATCTACCAATACATAATCCAACAAACTACTGTCATTTCGCCCTACATCATATCGTGTATACTTATTTATCCTCTTTTTCTTAAAATATGTATTACCTATAACTAAACCCCTTTCTATACAAAGTTCAATCAAAGGGCTCCCATTATCATTTACACCTGGCACCCCAAACTTACCTACCACACCCTCTCTAAAAGTTTCTCCTACTTTAGCATTCAAGTCCCCTACCACAATTACTCTCTCACTTGGTTCAAAGGCTCCTATACATTCACTTAACATCTCCCAAAATCTCTCTCTCTCCTCTGCATTCCTCTCTTCTCCAGGTGCATACACGCTTATTATGACCCACTTCTCGCATCCAACCTTTACTTTAATCCACATAATTCTTGAATTTACACATTCATATTCTCTTTTCTCCTTCCATAACTGATCATTTAACATTACTGCTACCCCTTCCTTTGCTCTAACTCTCTCAGATACTCCAGATTTAATCCCCTTTATTTCCCCCCACTGAAACTCTCCTACCCCCTTCAGCTTTGTTTCGCTTAGGGCCAGGACATCCAACTTCTTTTCATTCATAACATCAGCAATCATCTGTTTCTTGTCATCCGCACTACATCCACGCACATTTAAGCAACCCAGTTTTATAAAGTTTTTCTTCTTCTCTTTTTTAGTAATTGTATACAGGAGAAGGGTTACTAGCCCATTGCTCCGGCATTTTAGTCGCCTCATACGACACGCATGGCTTACGGAGGAAAGATTTTTTTCCACTTCCCATGGACAATAGAAGAAATAAAAAAGAACAAGAGCTATTTAGAAAAAGGAGAAAAACCTAGATGTATGTATATATATATATGCATGTGCGTGTCTGTGAAGTGTGACCAAAGTGTAAGTAGGAGTAGCAAGATATCCCTGTTATCTTAGCGTGTTTATGAGACAGAAAAAGAAACCAGCAATCCTACCATCATGCAAAACAGTTACAGGTTTTTGTTTCACAGTCATCTGGCAGGACGGTAGTACTTCCCTGGGTGGTTGCTGTCTACCAACCTACTACCTATAATAAACATATTAAACTAAAAACTGTAATTCCCAATATTCATATCCACTGTAGCCCATAATAAAAATCCATCCAACTACTACATTTTAGTCATGCAGGTGAGGAAGCAGGGGGACACACAGGGCACTAGGTTTTGAATCATTAGTACAAGTACTTAGCAAAGTAGCTAAGCCAGCAGCAGGGTCAGTACTGCAGAGTGGGATGGATTTACTGCAATACTTAACAGATGTTAGTCCCCAGCTTTGCTCTTTTACTTTCTTTTAACTTGGAATAACCTCATTAACATTGCCATCATTAGTAACACTACCTGCAATACAGTAATCATTCATACACACTACCTTAATTTTAGTAGTCAGTTTGACTTTGCGTGGCCGGCCTCCTTTACGTTTTGTTTTTCTTGTTTTTTTCTTGCGCTTGGCACCAGTTGCTGTGCAATCTGGGTCATCATCATCGTTGTCTATCACTTCCGATTCATTGGACTCTTCCCATTCCACATCTACCTCTAACTGTAAGGAAATTACTGATTTAATTTTTTAAATGGAGTATTTTGTACAAATCACTACAGTGGTATATTCATTACTTATTTAATGTTATAAAAGCATAAGAACACTATATACATAGCTTATACTTTTTTTTTAATTATGAAATTTCAAGCCAAAATTTACACTTACTGTGGGCCTTTCAATTTCTTTTTTGGCATGTGGTTGTCGATGAGCAATGGTTGCCTCATACTGCTGTACCAACTCCATTTTGGTATCAGCCAATTCAATTTCAAGTCCATCAACTTGGTCTACAAGGCCATAGCAACGACGGCACAAAACATCACTGTGAGCCTTGACTACAGTTAATCCCACTAAACGACCCAACATTGCTGACAACTTCCGCTGGCTTACGGTCATTGTCGCTTTGTAGAGATCAACATATTCATGGGGAGAGTCTTGCGTAGGGAGGCCCTTGTCACACACCAGACACCAGCGGGACTGTTCCACATTGCTGTGTCCTGCTGTTACTCCATCTACCACTTCACCACTGCCTGCCTCTATTGTTAAAGACTCTTGCAGTTCCACTCTCTTAACATCTACTGCTGCCTCCTCCAAAACTCCCACTACTAAAGAAGGCCCTGGGTCTCCATTAGAATCTATGATGCCTACAGCTACCTCCATTTGCTGCTGCTGTTGTTGCTGCTGCTGCTGCTGTTGTTGCTGCTGCTGTTGTTGTTGCTGCTGCTGCTGTTGCTGCTGCTGCTGCTGCTGCTGCTGCTGCTGCTGCTGCTGCTGCTGCTGTTGTTGTTGTTGTTGCTGTTGTTGCTGTTGTTGTTGTTGTTGTTGTTGTTGCTGCTGCTGCTGTTGTTGCTGTTGCTGAGCAACTTGTTGGTGTTCCACTTGTTGCTGGGCTGCTTGCTGTTGATGCTGTTGATGATGTACAAGTTGCTGCTGATGCACACTATGATGCATGGTAATCTGCTGTGTGCCAGCCATCTGCGTTGTGATTGTGGCCATGCTTGTGCCCATATGCCCAGGGCGAGAGCCAACCACCATGGGAAGACTGGCCTCCGGCATTAGGATTCTAGTGAGAGGTGGTGGTTGCTGTGAGACTTGCTGAGCCTCTGACATTAGGATTCTGGCGAGAGGTGGTGCAGGTGCTACCTGCTGAGGCTCTGACATCAGGATTCTTGTGAGGGGAGGTGGTGGTGCTACTTGTTGAGCCACCTGCTGAGCTGCCTGCTGAGCTGCTGCTTGTTGCACTGCTTGCTGATTGGTTGCATGATGATTTGCCATGGGATGGCCACTCATGTTCATGGCAAACATCCTTCTTGGATCTTCAAAATCCATATTTAAAATATTTTGTCTTCGCTTGAACCTGGAATAAAACCTTATCTTATTTTTTTTTTTTTATTATTATCACACCGGCCGATTCCCACCAAGGCAGGGTGGCCCGAAAAAGAAAAACTTTCACCATCATTCACTCCATCACTGTCTTGCCAGAAGGGTGCTTTACACTACAGTTTTTAAACTGCAACATTAACACCCCTCCTTATCTTATTATTATTTAAAAACTTATATTCACACTCCTCTGAAGGAAGGGTGTGACTATAAGTGTTAGAAACTGCAACATTCACAGTTATAAACTGCAACATTCACACCCCTCTGAAGGAGGGGTGTGAATGTTGCAGTTTTATAACTAGTGTAAGCACGTCTCTGATAAGACAGTGATGGAGTGAATGATTAAGTTTTTCTTTTTTAAACCACCCTGCCTTGGTGGGAAATGGCCAATGTGTTAATAATACACCTATTTTCAGAAAATATGCCCAACCCATACAAGTCATAAAGTGTGACAAGGATGAGAGGGTTTTCTGAAAGGAAAGGGAAAATGAGTGTGCCCAGGCACTAATAAACAGACTGGAAATGAAGTCTACATGCTCTTTGATAAATAGTACAGACAATCGAAGTTGTTTGTCAACAGAACCTGATAAGTTGTACAGAGTGGCTCTAAGAGTCCCTCCACATTATATCTGTTTGTGATACTTGTAGAGTTAATATGCAGTTCTTGCTAGAACAGTTTTCCTAAATGTGATACTTACAAAAAGAAGTCAATCAATAACCCAACTGTGGTTCAATAAGAGACTGCTTGTTATCCTTTAATCTGGATTGATGTTGCCATCAATTCCAAATGCAAAATAATAACCTATTGAGTTTACAACTTCAACAATTAAGGACTGGAGCTACATCAGAATACTTACTGCTAATTTTCACAAATTCTTCCACACTGCATTCATAGGTGTGGTGGCATTTAACATAAGCACATCAACAAGCAAGCCTGGCTGCTCATATGATTGCCGGGCATGTGCTCTAACTGTTTTAAGTCTAAATAGCATTAATCACTCTGAAGTAGAGGCATATAGCTAGGATTAGATGTACCAGACCAAGAGTGAGGTGGGAAGGTTGGAAATGGCATCACAGGAGGCAAGGCTCACTAGCAGGCTAATGCTAGGCAGGTCCATCTAAAATTTGACCCTTCTCACACATAAAAACATGCCAATAATTACTAGCATGCTTTTGTGTGTGAGAACATGCCAGTAACACTAGTATTTACATACACACTAATAAACTTTATTAATCTTCAATTATAACTGAGTAGTAATGAAGTTATAGACACTGTCCTCTGTACCAAGATAATGCAGTATTGCTGTGTCAGATGTATCTGGAGTTTACCTGGAGAGGGTTTTGGGGGTCAATGCCCCCATGGCTCGGTCTGAGACCAGGACTCATGGTGGATCAGGGTCTGATCAACCAGGCTGTTACTGCTGGCTGCACTCAAGCTGACGTACGAACCACAGCCCAGTTGGTCAGGAACTGGCTTTAGGTGCCTGTTCAATGCCTTCTTAAAGATATATTAATGATGTATATATAATACCAACAGGTAGATGGTTTATATAGGCACAGGTACACATAAGCACAATCATACATAGTGTAAATTACCTACTCCCCAAAGGATGGGTGTGGCAACACCTATTATAGTAAGCAATAAGAAAGTAATGTATATTAAATAAATCTAAATATATTACTGCACTGAATAACTTCTGTAATGCAAAGGTTAAATTCATCTAATTAGTACTGTAAGAAGCAGAATACAGCCTCTCCTCACTTAACGACGTAGTTCCGTTCCTAAGACCATGTCGGTAAACGAATTCGTCGCTAAACAAGGAGCAGACTATAATGGTAGTGGGTTTGTGTCAACCATCTTCGATATTATTTTAATGTCACCCTTGCATCATTTATAACATTTCTGGTATATTTTTAAATGTTTATCCAGTAGTGTGCTGTATATTGTAATAAACAGAATAGAGGCAATCAGCTCTAATATACATTATTTAGGTATGCATACTGGTCACTGAGCCCGTCGTAAGTCCGAGTCATCGGTAAACGAGCATGTCACCAAGTGGGGAGAGGCTGTATATTGTAAGCTTTATTTAGGAAACTGCTAACTTCCATAATAAGGTTGTCAGTATTGTGTAGTTTAAGTTTACATTCAAGTTTGGGAAAACAGAACCACAAAAGAAAAAATTAATTCTTAAAAAAGCTTAAGTGCAAAGTGGAATAGACATATGGCATTAAATTTTGGTAGTACGGTGCAGTATTATATTCTTTGTGTTTTTACATATTTTATGAGTACAGTACAGTGATACAGAACTCTTACTACAGAATATACAGACAAAAAATTTACCTTTTCAATGTGATCAATATATTGTTCAATTTGACATTTATCTGGCTAGCTGTTTTGAGTCCAAGCACATAACTGTCCAGTAAATCTTTACGTTTGATGGTCGTTATTTATCTATGTACTGCACTTTCCTGAGTTCACCGTTTACACTGTTGTAGTCTGCATGAAGAAAAAGAAGTTATGTCAGAAAAAAATTATAACAAGTACAGTGGTAACAAGTGTGCAATGGGAGTTTCAATAAAAATGTGACTTGCAGCAAGTATTGTGGCAATGGGAGTTATAATATAAATGTGACTTTCAGCAAATATAGTGGCAATGGGAGTTATAATATAAATGTGACTTTCAGCAAGTATAGTGGCAATGAGAGTTATAATATAAATGTGACTTTCAGCTAGTATAGTGGCAATGGGAGTTATAATATAAATGTGACTTTCAGCAAGTATAGTGGCAATGGGAATTTCAATAAAAATGTGACAGAGCACAACTCTTGAACATGGTAAAAAAAAAGACCTATAGCAAAAAGATACCTTCAATTACTCTATCACAATGTTCCACCTACAAGAGGCTCTATCAAGTGACAAAACATATTTTAGAAAATTTTTATTATTATCACACCGGCCGATTCCCACCAAGGCAGGGTGGCCCGAAAAAGAAAAACTTTCACCATCATTCACTCCATCACTGTCTTGCCAGAAGGGTGCTTTACACTACAGTTTTTAAACTGCAACATTAACACCCCTCCTTCAGAGTGCAGGCACTGTACTTCCCATCTCCAGGACTCAAGTCCGGCCTGCCGGTTTCCCTGAATCCCTTCATAAATGTTACTTTGCTCACACTCCAACAGCACGTCAAGTATTAAAAACCATTTGTCTCCATTCACTCCTATCAAACACACTCACGCATGCCTGCTGGAAGTCCAAGCCCCTCGCACACAAAACCTCCTTTACCCCCTCCCTCCAACCCTTCCTAGGCCGACCCCTACCCCGCCTTCCTTCCACTACAGACTGATACACTCTTGAAGTCATTCTGTTTCGCTCCATTCTCTCTACATGTCCGAACCACCTCAACAACCCTTCCTCAGCCCTCTGGACAACAGTTTTGGTAATCCCGCACCTCCTCCTAACTTCCAAACTACGAATTCTCTGCATTATATTCACACCACACATTGCCCTCAGACATGACATCTCCACTGCCTCCAGCCTTCTCCTCGCTGCAACATTCATCACCCACGCTTCACACCCATATAAGAGCGTTGGTAAAACTATACTCTCATACATCCCCTCTTTGCCTCCAAGGACAAAGTTCTTTGTCTCCACAGACTCCTAAGTGCACCACTCACTCTTTTTCCCTCATCAATTCTATGATTCACCTCATCTTTCATAGACCCATCCGCTGACACGTCCACTCCCAAATATCTGAATACGTTCACCTCCTCCATACTCTCTCCCTCCAATCTAATATTCAATCTTTCATCACCTAATCATTTTTGTTTTTCCTCATAACCTTACTCTTTCCTGTATTCACCTTTAATTTTCTTCTTTTGCACACCTACCAAATTCATCCACCAATCTCTGCAACTTCTCTTCAGAATCTCCCAAGAGCACAGTGTCATCAGCAAAGAGCAGCTGTGACAACTCCCACTTTGTGTGTGATTCTTTATCTTTTAACTCCACGCCTCTTGCCAAGACCCTCGCATTTACTTCTCTTACAACCCCATCTATAAATATATTAAACAACCACGGTGACATCACACATCCTTGTCTAAGGCCTACTTTTACTGGGAAAAAATTTCCCTCTTTCCTACATACTCTAACTTGAGCCTCACTATCCTCGTAAAAACTCTTCACTGCTTTCAGTAACCTACCTCCTACACCATACACTTGCAACATCTGCCACATTTTCCCCCCTAAACCACCCTGGTCATACGCCTTTTCCAAATCCATAAATGCCACAAAGACCTCTTTAGCCTTATCTAAATACTGTTCACTTATATGTTTCACTGTAAACACCTGGTCCACACACCCCTACCTTTCCTAAAAGCCTCCTTGTTCATCTCGCTATCCTATTCTCCGTCTTACTCTTAATTCTTTTTAATTATAACTCTACCATACACTTTACCCGGTACACTCAACAGACTTATCCCCCTATAATTTTTGCACTCTCTTTTATCCCCTTTGCCTTTATACAAAGGAACTATGCATGCTCTCTGCCAATCCCTAGGTACCTTACCCTCTTCCATACATTTTAAATAATTGCACCAACACTCCAAAACTATATCCCCACCTGCTTTTAACATTTCTATCTTTATCCCATCAATCCCGGCTGCCTTACCCCTTTCATTTTACCTACTGCCTCACGAACTTCCCCCACACTCACAACGGGCTCTTCCTCACTCCTACAAGATGTTATTCCTCCTTGCCCTATACACGAAATCACAGCTTCCTATCTTCATCAACATTTAACAATTCCTCAAAATATTCCTTCCACTTCCCCAAATACCTCTAACTCTCCTTTTAATAACTCTCCTCTCCTATGTTTAACTGACAAATCCATTTGTTCTCTAGGCTTTCTTAACTTGTTTAATCTCACTCCAAAACTTTTTCTTATTTCAACAAAATTTGTTGATAACATCTCACCCACTCTCTCATTTGCTCTCTTTTTACATTGCTTCACCACTCTCTTAACTTCTCTCTTTTTCTCCATATACTCTTCCCTCCTTGCATCACTTCTACTTTGTAAAAACTTCTCATATGCTAACTTTTTCTCCCCTACTACTCTCTTTACATCATCATTCCACCAATCGCTCCTCTTCCCTCCTGCACCCACTTTCCTGTAACCACAAACTTCTGCTGAACACTCTAACACTACATTTTTAAACCTACCCCATACCTCTTCGACCCCATTGCCTATGCTCTCATTACCCCAAATCTATCCTCCAATAGCTGTTTTATATCTTACCCTAACTGCCTCCTCTTTTAGTTTATAAACCTTCACCTCTCTCTTCCCTGATGCTTCTATTCTCCTTGTATCCCATCTACCTTTTACTCTCAGTGTAGCTACAACTAGAAAGTGATCTGATATATCTGTGGCCCCTCTATAAACATGTACATCCTGAAGTCTACTTAACAGTCTTTTATCTACCAATACATAATCCAACAAACTACTGTCATTTCGCCCTACATCATATCGTGTATACTTATTTATCCTCTTTTTCTTAAAATATGTATTACCTATAACTAAACCCCTTTCTATACAAAGTTCAATCAAAGGGCTCCCATTATCATTTACACCTGGCACCCCAAACTTACCTACCACACCCTCTCTAAAAGTTTCTCCTACTTTAGAAAAATACTGAACTAATGAAATTTCTCATGTTGCTACACACATCTTGTTTTTCACCTCTTAATGAGTCACAGTCACAACAACTCTTCTGTACATATTCACTCACAGCAATTACTCTAATGAATTATACACTATTCTTCTGCTTGTGCAAAACAAGCCATACAGAATTTAATTTTGATCAGTTTTAATTTTGGACAGTTGCAACCTGTCACCCTACTGCAGCTTTATTTGGTAAAGTATGTGTATATGTGAAATATTATGCTTTTGTTTCATGTTTTCCAACAGCCCAGTTGATACACAACAGGAATTTCTAGCAATCCTTTCAAAGACAGCAAAATGAGTATGAGTAATTTAGCTTTACTTGAACTTCATAAGGAAATATCCAGAATTTTTTTGCAGTTCCTGTCTATTGTTGAAAAAAAATCTAGACTGTATCTCAGGTCCCTCTATTTATCACTACATACTGTGTATAGCATCCACTGTCTTTTTTTAGTAATATATTCTAAAAGAAACATGTACTGTACTAGGTAAGCATTACAACAATGATGCATCTTAAAAAAAATAGAACATTTTTATAATTAAAACATTAAGTGAAATATTGTTTGTTTATCTCTTTAATAAAAATTCCAAGGAATAAATACATACAAACTTAATATTAAGTAAAATATGGATTCAAGAATAGGTATAGGACTGGATAAACTGAATTTTTTTAAAAAATAAGGAAGAGTGCAACAGTTATAATTAACCCAGTTCCACAAAACTGTAGTGTCCAGTACATATTATTTGAAATTTGGGTACTGTTATGAAAAAGATCAGCCTTCTACCATAGGAAGTGAGCATAACTTGGGAATACCCACTGTGTACAACCAAGTACCAAACACACAACACTGGAACAATTCACTTAACTGGATAAAAACATTATTAACACAAGTCAATTGAAAACTAGAGTTAAGAATCACCTACCTAATTAATACATTTTAAGAATAAGAAGAAATTAATAAATTATAAGAATATGAGCAAAATGCACCATGAGTGGTAAATTTACAATGAACATGTAAGTAGCAAGATGCATTTTACAAGCTTTAACTAAGCAACAGTATATGTATATGGAATGTTATCAGTAATCTACAATAATTACTAGTATGAATTCAAAGGATGTGCTAAACCCCTATGGATTATTATTATTATACTGGAAGGGAATGGGAGACAATCAGAATATATCAAAGTGCCTCTTGAGGGGTTCACCTTCTAAAGTATGATAATAAGTAAATAAAGTAATGGTGCACTTAAGTACAATTATCATGCCTAGTAACATGTGTTAATTACCTAGGATAACCCAAGAAAAGTCAATGTGACTATATACTTAAAAAAACTAAACCCACTGTGGTCATAAAGCTCTTAGGAATAGAGGTAATTGGGTGTGATCTCTGAATAAGTAAGACAAATCCAATTCCCTGGATCAAGAGCCCCTTACCTGTATAAAGAAACCTCCCCTGAGGTACAGAGCAATTTAATTTTTATTAAAAGTATTTTTCAGATTATCTCTAGTAATTATCTAGGTCCAATTTTACACAATTTTGGATTACAACTGTTTTGCATAGTAACACATGTCAATTACCTAGGATAATCCAAGAGTCAATGACTTATTTCCACTAGAAACTTGTAGGTTTATTATAAAACTTGCATATTAAAGTTGTCATATATGAATGCTAGCCAGAAAAGGCTAGATTTAGCAAGTATATTTAGGCACAGGTACACAAGTACTATTACCATACATAGTATGTAAATTACTCAGGATAACCCCTAAAAAAGTGACATTTCACTGGGGTCCTAATTTACATTGAATACCTATTGGTTGTACTGTTACCCTCACCTATATAACATCTCACAGGTTTACAAGTTACTTAAGCAATATATCTACCAGGATATCATGTTAAGATAGTTGCCAGTGTCGCTGAATTAGTCGCAAAACTGAACAAATCATTCCAATTGAACTAATCCTTCTACCAAGGGATTGTTAACCTATTAGATAGTTTATTAGTTTTAAGTCTTATGGACTAGACGAGGCTCATAAGGCTGCAGGACACCTGTACACCACCAGTCAGGAATATTTTACTCCCTAAATTAGAGATTAAAGTCAACTCTCAGCGTAGATATACTGAGAGTCACACACCTAAGTAAGTTTATTCAGGTATACACAAATACAGTTACACAGAATTATCATACATAGCAGTATATGTGTAGAGAACCTAGGATAACCCAAAAAAGCCAGAGTGACTTATTTCCATTGGGGTCCTTTTACCTTATTATTATACTATAATTTATTGTCCTCAAAGGTTTATTATATCCCATATGATGAGCACAGGACAGGATTTGAGTGCGAGAGAGAGAAGTGTCTGGTGAGTGCCCACACACCCTCCATCAATGTACTCGAGACAGACAAAAAGCACAAAAGTTTGCTATTGCTAAAATCGCCGGATTCGGGTAAAGCAAGTAAAGTAGAAGTTATTTATGCGTCTGAAACACGTCATGGCGTCCGAAGCTGGCGTTCCACGCCCATTATTACACCCACCTCCTTCCCTCCTCATTTAACCCCACAAGCCTCACCTGTCATGGCATGTGTGGTGTCTTTAAGATGAAGGAGGATTATCCCGCGTCTCCTCACGGGGCAGAGGACGTCCTTCTCCCTGAAACACTCGTCCTGAAGGAGGAATATTAGCATAAACTTGTGGTGTTCGGTGTGGCGGCGTCAGGAGGAACAACTCGCACGAAATACTTCTTTATTTTCTTCCCCCCTCGCATTTCACCACCTCTACAGGGGAGAACATCAAAATATATATTTTTTGAGATAAGCCGAAGCTTGGCGGTAGTGATGTAAGGTGATAAATAAAGTGGGGAGACAACATTGTGGCGTACTTACATGTTAATCCGGTCGATACAAAGAGATGAGGATGGCCAGCCACGGGAGACATGTTGCCGGGGGCCTCCCTTATCTAACTCATTTTCCTCCATTACTGATACTGGCGTGGCACTTTCTAAGTAAACCCAGACCACTTTTATACTTTGCATCTAAGAGAATCCAACTTTTGCGGCTTTCAAGGATACCATATCAAAGAAAGGCGGGGAAATTGTACCAGTTCCGCAGTTGTTAAATGGCAAGAACCAAGCGTACCAATGTTTCCGAGTAATATATTTATATATCTTTCCTTCCATTAAATTAACGTCCATTGTAAATACAGTCGAGAAAAGTATTAGATTTAAAGTATTCATTTTATATAACAAAAGCTATTTTTTTTCATGTAGGCAATTTTAAGAGGTTACACACTTGATTTCAGATACCCAACCTCAACCCCTGTAACCACTTGTAGGCACATACAGCGAAGAGGCGGGGGCCAGGAGCTGTGACTCGACCCCTACAGTCACATATAGGTGAGTACATATATGCGAACACGCACACACACGCAAGTGGAATAGTATAGCAAGTGATGTAGTGGAGGCAGGAACCATACATAGCTTTAAGACGAGGTATTTATAAAGCTCATGGAGCAGGGAGAGAGAGGACCTAGTAGTGTTTAGTGAAGAGGCGGGGCCAGGAGCTGAATCTCGACCCCTGCAACTACAATTAGGTGAGTACACATAAACTATATATATATAATATATATATATATATATATATATATATATATATATATATATATATATATATATATATATATATATATATATTATATATATATATAAAATATATATTATATATATATATATATATATATTATATATATATATAATATATACGTATTATTGAAATATCAAAGTTTATTGGACACTGGAGTATACCTGAAGAGTGTTTCGGGGGCCAACGCCCCCGAAGCCCGGTCTGTGACCAGGCCTCGAGGTGGATCAGGGCCTGATGAACCAGGCTGTTGCAGTGAAAATTCTCCGTATATTCTCCAGGTCTGCAATTTCGCTTGCCTTGAAAGGGGCCGTTAGTGCACAGTATTCCAGCCTGGAGACCAGAGAGAACAAGCGATTGTCTTGGCATTCCTAGTTTTGAAGGTTCTCATTATCCATCTTATCATTTTCCTGGTAGATGTGATAGACACTAGAATTAAAAACAATTAATTCATATTTTTAAGGTCTTTCAATATTTAATTTTTAAGTTTTAGATACGTCAAAAATGTCTCGGAGAAAAGTCTGAATTTTTAAGGGCTTATCCAGGCGATGGACCTTGAGCTTTATCTCCCCCGGGTCCCCTCCCCACAGGGAAGGTTTCTTGATGTTGGTGAGGGGCTCTTGATTTAGGGAATTGGATCTGTGCTCCAGTTCCCCGAATTAAGCCTGAATGCCTTCCACATCCCTCCCAGGCGCTGTATAATCCTACGGGTTTAGCGCTTCCCCTTGATTATAATAATAATAATAATAATCCCCCGGGTCCCTCATTAAGGCTCTGACTATGAGCCCATCAGGTCCCTCATTAAGGCCCTGCCTATGGGCCCCTCAGGTCCCTCAATAAGGCGCTGACTAGGGCTCCTCAAACCTCATATTCTTACTCTTAAAAATTACCTTGGGTTAGCTATTGCAGATTTCTTTAAGAAATCACAGTTTACCGGATGCACCTCTTGTGATTCATGTTTTGCCCAGTGTAAGCTTTTGTGCTATGATATAAACTAATAAAATAGTAATAAATCGACTTGTTTCGGTTACTGAGGAATTAGACAGAGGTATCCACTGTATCACAGAGCCCCAGTCACTCTACCTCAAAGCATTCGAATGTTCTTTATGAGTTTAGCGCTTCCCCTTGAAAATAATACGTTGATTCAAGCAAGAGGAAAAGCAACTGTGTTCAAAAAAGCAGAGGAGCTGTAGCTCAACACCCTCACGAGGCCTAGGACTCAGGAACTATAATTAAATCCTCACAGAGTTCCAGGATCTGGCGATCAACACTACAAGTTACAACCTATACAGATGTGACAGAGTGAACAGGCAAAAGGGGGGGGGGGGTTGGCCTGTACATTGCAGAGTCACTTGTTTGCACAGAACTGCTAAATGCCTCAAATGATGTAGTGGAAGTTTTAGCAGTAAAGGTCGAGAACCAAAACCTAGTCATTGTGGTAGTCTACAAGCCTCCGGATGCAACATCCCAGCAATTCCAGGAACAGCTGTTAAAAATTGACCACTGTCTGGAAAATCTTCCAGCTCCTGCACCCAACATCTTGCTCCTGGGGGATTTCAACTTAAGGCACCTAAAATGGAGGAATATAGCAAATAATATTGTTGCAGTAATAACACCAGGAGGCAGCTCTGATGAAAACTCACACTCACGCGAGCTTTTAAATCTCTGCACAAAATTCAATTTAAACCAGCAAATAATAGAGCCTACTAGACTGGAGAATACACTAGACCTCATCTTCACTAACAATGATGATCTGATAAGAAATGTCACCATATCAAAAACAATATACTCAGATCACAACATAATTGAGGTTCAGTCATGTATGCGCGGAGCCCCAGACCGACATAATGAGATTAGTCACGAGGGAGCATTCACCAAATTCAACTTCAATAACAAAAACATAAGTGGGACCAAGTAAACCAAGTCCTAAACGATATAAGCTGGGAAGATATACTAAGCAACACAGACCCCAACTTATGCCTAGAACAGACTAACTCGGTGGCACTCGATGTATGCACAAGGCTTATTCCTCTAAGAAAAAGGAGGAGTAGATGTAAAATAGAAAAAGACAGGCGCTCCCTTTACAGGCGACGGAAAAGAATAACAGAGCGGCTAAAGAGGTCAATATATCTGAAATGCGTAGGGAGACACTGGTCAGAGAAATAGCAAGCTTCGAACTTAAGCTAAAAGAATCCTTTAGGAGTCAGGAATCGCGGGAAGAACTAAAAGCCATAAATGAAATCGAAAGAAACCAAAGTATTTCTTCTCCTATGCCAAATCAAAATCGAGAACAACGTCCAGTATTGGGCCCTACTTAAACAAGATGGGTCCTACACAGATGACAGCAAGGAAATGAGTGAGTTACTCAAGTCCCAATATGACTCAGTTTTTAGCAAGCCGCTAACCAGACTGAGAGTCGAAGATCAAAATGAATTTTTTATGAGAGAGCCACAAAATTTGATTAACACAAGCCTATCCGATGTTATCCTGACGCCAAATGACTTCGAACAGGCGATAAATGACATGCCCATGCACTCTGCCCCAGGGCCAGACTCATGGAACTCGTGTTCATCAAGAACTGCAAGAAGCCCCTATCACGAGCCTTTCCATCCTATGGAGAGGGAGCATGGACACGGGGTCGTCCCACAGTTACTAAAAACAACAGCATAGCCCCACTCCACAAAGGGGGCAGTAAAGCAACAGCAAAGAACTACAGACCAATAGCACTAACATCCCATATCATAAAAATCTTTGAAAGGGTCCTAAGAAGCAAGATCACCACCCATCTAGAAACCCATCAGTTACACAACCCAGGGCAAACATGGGTTTAGAACAGGTCGCTCCTGTCTGTCTCAACTATTGGATCACTACGACAAGGTCCTAAATGCACTAGAAGACAAAAAGATGCAGATGTAATATATACAGACTTTGCAAAAGCCTTCGACAAGTGTGACCATGGCGTAATAGCGCACAAAATGCGTGCTAAAGGAATAACAGGAAAAGTCGGTCGATGGATCTATAATTTCCTCACTAACAGAACACAGAGAGTAGTCGTCAACAGAGTAAAGTCCGAGGCAGCTACGGTGAAAAGCTCTGTTCCACAAGGCACAGTACTCGCTCCCATCTTGTTCCTCATCCTCATATCCGACATAGACAAGGATGTCAGCCACAGCACCGTGTCTTCCTTTGCAGATGACACCCGAATCTGCATGACAGTGTCTTCCATTGCAGACACTGCAAAGCTCAGGCGGACATCAACCAAATCTTTCAGTGGGCTGCAGAAAACAATATGAAGTTCAACGATGAGAAATTTCAATTACTCAGATATGGTAAACATGAGGAAATTAAATCTTCATCAGAGTACAAAACAAATTCTGGCCACAAAATAGAGCGAAACACCAACGTCAAAGACCTGGGAGTGATCATGTCGGAGGATCTCACCTTCAAGGACCATAACATTGTATCAATCGCATCTGCTAGAAAAATGACAGGATGGATAATGAGAACCTTCAAAACTAGGGAGGCCAAGCCCATGATGACACTCTTCAGGTCACTTGTTCTATCTAGGCTGGAATATTGCTGCACACTAACAGCACCTTTCAAGGCAGGTGAAATTGCCGACCTAGAAAATGTACAGAGAACTTTCACGGCGCGCATAACGGAGATAAAACACCTCAATTATTGGGAGCGCTTGAGGTTCCTAAACCTGTATTCCCTGGAACGCAGGAGGGAGAGATACATGATTATATACACCTGGAAAATCCTAGAGGGACTAGTACCGAACTTGCACACGAAAATCACTCACTACGAAAGCAAAAGACTTGGCAGACGATGTACCATCCCCCCAATGAAAAGCAGGGGTGTCACTAGCACGTTAAGAGACCATACAATAAGTGTCAGGGGCCCGAGACTGTTCAACTGCCTCCCAGCACACATAAGGGGGATTACCAACAGACCCCTGGCAGTCTTCAAGCTGGCACTGGACAAGCACCTAAAGTCAGTTCCTGATCAGCCGGGCTGTGGCTCGTACGTTGGTTTGCGTGCAGCCAGCAGCAACAGCCTGGTTGATCAGGCTCTGATCCACCAGGAGGCCTGGTCACAGACCGGGCCGCGGGGGCGTTGACCCCCGGAGCTCTCTCCAGGTAAACTCCAGGTAAACTGAGTATCCCAGGAGCTGAAACTCAACCAAATCAAAGACAAATGTGGTCTGAATGTAAAATGATAGCAGTGAGAAATGCATATAAATGACGCATATTATATATATATATATATATATATATATATATATATATATATATATATATATATATATATATATATATATATATATATATATATATATTATATATGCCGTATACAAACACGTATACATTTATACGTATACGTTTACATACATACACGCATATGCATACATATGCAACAATGTTCATACGTACACCATATATACCTACACGTAAGCATTTTTAAATTCTGCAGTATTAGAATGTT